TCAACTCCGGTGTTGCCATTACCAAATGATTATAAATCTACTTCAATATTTATTTTAGATGATATTAATTTCTGTAACTTCACCACTACCCTGTGTCTTAAGTGGTTGGGTGAGATCTGTGTTTATTTCAGGACAGGTTTCATTTTTAAACAAGCATTGGTGTTTGTGTTAGGTTTGTTTGTATAAACAATATGGCAACAGCGACGAAGGGATTTGGATTTTCCTTTTTGGCTGGAAGGGGGTTAGTGGGGAGGGGGGGTTGGAGGGGGGTCGAGGCGAAGGTGTGTAGGATGGTTCATCCTCAGTGTGTGTGGGAAGCGAGGAGGAGGTCCTGGCCGTGATATCCACACACACACACACACACGTAGGATATCATGGCAATCAGTCAGGCTCGTGGTCGCTGCCTCGGAAAATTTGCGAACGTCAGCTGCAGGAGTCCTACTCAGACTCCTATGGATATCGAGGCCAAGAGTCACGCTCAAGACTCCTGTGAACATCAAGCCAGAGAACCATTTAGACTCCTGCCTACACCATGTGTTCATTTCTCTCCCTCCGACTAATGCGAGGTAAGTTTTGACATAGATAAGATATACAGTAATAAGGAAATCACTAAATATAGATATACATATATATCTATACATATATATATATATATATATATATATATATATATATATATATATATATATATATATATATATATATATATATATATATGTCGTACCTAGTAGCCAGAACGCACTTCTCAGCCTACTATGCATGGCCCGATTTGCCTAATAAGCCAAGTTTTCATGAATTAATTGTTTTTCGACTACCTAACCTACCTAACCTAACCTAACCTAACTTTTTCTGCTACCTAACCTAACCTAACCTATAAAGATAGGTTAGGTTAGGTTAGGTAGGGTTGGTTAGGTTTGGTCATATATCTACGTTAATTTTAACTCCAATAAAAAAAATTGATCTCATATATAATGAAATGGGTAGCTTTATCATTTCATAAGAAAAAAATTAGAGAAAATATATTAATTCAGGAAAACTTGGCTTATTAGGCAAATCGGGCCTTGCATAGTAGGCTGAGAAGTGCGTTCTGGCTACTAGGTACGACATATATATATATATATATATATATATATATATATATATATATATATATATATATATATATATGTATATGTATATGTATATGTATATATATATATATATATATGTATATATATATATATATATATATATATATATATATATATATATATATATATATATATATATATATATATATATATATATATTGGTAGCAGTCTTTCCTGTAGACATATTTTATTAAATATGACCGAAAAAGTAAGATTAATAATTCTAACACGAATTTTCTCAATCTTTCGTACATTTCTTTTCACTGTTGGAGGTAATTCAAAAATCAATTCTCCAAAATTCATTTTTATTTCTAGTCTGACGCGACACGAGCGCGTTTCGTAAAACTTATTACATTTTCAAAGACTTTAGTTTACAAATACACAACTGAATAGAACTTACAGATCTCCAATTTTGTTTATATCTACATTTGAGTGAGGTGGATGGGGTGAGGTGGCATTAATAGGGTATTAATTTCATCACCACAAGACAGAACAAGAGGTGGCATTAATAGGGTATTAATTTCATCAACACAAGACAGAACACGAAACAATGGGTATTGAAATGGAAGTGATTGTAGAAAGCCTATTGGTCCATATTTCTTGATGCTTTTATATTGGAGCGGAGTCTTGATATATATATAAGGAAAAATGAATTTTGGAGAATTGATTTTTGAATTACCTCCAACAGTGAAAAGAAATGTACGAAAGATTGAGAAAATTCGTGTTAGAATTATTAATCTTACTTTTTCGGTCATATTTAATAATATATGTCTACAGGAAAGACTGCTACCAAAATATATATATATATATATATATATATATATATATATATATATATATATATATATATATATATATATATATATATATATATATATATATATATATATATATAATATTCCCAGGGGACACTACACGAAATGTTTCCTTATATATATATTACGTCCTTCGGTCTCATCTTAACCAAGAAATATTATTTCCCCTCTCAGTTCAGATAAGAAATATTATTTCCCCTCTCAGTTCAGATAAGAAATATTATTTCTCTCTTCACTCTCATGAGAAATATTCCTTCAACCAGCCAAACATGAGACACACCACAACCTCCCTGACTTATCAGGCGGATAATGTGGGAACGGGAAGGAGGGGGGGAGGGTGTTCGCTCCCTGTTCAAATTTACGTATTTTTTTAACTGATATGAACATGTGTTCATCTCTGTTCAAAGTTCACATGGTAGGTGGGAGCTGTCTCCATCATGTGAGAAGTGATTTGTCACACTCTGAATACTTCGTATATAAAATATTTTGCATTGAGTAACTAAACAACGGAAGCAGATAATATAATTTAGTATAATATTGTATATTAAACTATTGAATTTTATACTATAAAACAGTATAATATAGTGTGTTATAATATAGGAGAGTATTATATACAATAGGTTAAAGAAAATAAGGATTTGTTTAGCTGTGATCAGAACAGGAGTCACTTATCAGTTTCCTGAGGGGGGGGGGGAGGAAACTGAGTATTGAAGGATTAATGATTAATTTAAACGGTTCTTAATAGATTGTATGATCAATATGTAGGCTCTTGAAGGATAGTAGATCAATGTGTAGGTTCTTCATAGGTAAATAATCAATATGTGGGTTTTTCACATATAAGAGGTCAATATGTGAGTTCTTCAGAGATTAATGATCAATATTTAGTGTAATCACAGATGAATAATCAATATAATGACTAATAAAGTGTTGATGAACTGAGCAGAATGAGCAACAATAAGTTACGTTTTATTCAACTGATGTTAAATTAGTAACATTTCAGTAGGTGTAATTCGAAATATTTTTAAGAGCATTTTTTCTTTAAAAAAAAAAAAGTCCGTAAATTAAACTGAAATATAATATTAAAATAATTGTATTAATGAAAATTTTTTAAATAAATAAAAAATAATATTTTTCCACTATCATATCTACTACACTTTTCTCCTACTTTCTCTTTCTCTCTCTCTCTCTCTCTCTCTCTCTCTCTCTCTCTCTCTCTCTCTCTCTCTCTCTCTCTCTCTCTCTCTCTCTCTCTCTCTCTATCTCTCTCTCTCTCTCTCTCTCTCTCTCTCTCTCTCTCTCTCTCTCTCTCTCTCTCTCTCTCTCTCTCTCTCTCTCACACACACACACACACATACTAACGCTGGAAGACAGAGGAGTTAGGAGAGACATAATCACTACATACAAGATTCTCAGAGGAACTGATAAAGACGGTTGATAAAGACCATATAACGCAAAGGGGGTCACACGCACTAGGGGAAAAATAGTTTAATGAAAAAAAATATATAGCGCTTCAATTTATTTAAAATACCAAACATTTCGTAGTTCCAAATTCCATCAACATTGCTAAAGGAGAATATTTACACAACAAATTTGCGATTTAAATATATATAATAAACGCAATTTTAGCTAAACGTAATCGCGGTTGTAATTTTAGTTAAATTTGTGTTGAAAATATTATCTTTTTAGCACTGATGATGGAGTTAGGTACTCCAAAACGATTGGTATTTTAAATATATCGAAGACGTTGTATATCTTTTATTTTGTCATACTGTTATATATATATATATATATATATATATATATATATATATATATATATATATATATATATATATATATATATATATATATATATATATATATATATATATATATATATATATATAACTTATTAGAGGGCCTCGTTACATTATTTAAATGTGAACGCATGTGCATGTACTCACCTCGTTGTACTCACCTAGTTGTGCTTGCTGGGGGTTGAGCTTTGGCTCTTTGGACCCGCCTCTCAATCGTCAATCAACTGGTATATGTGTGTTTGTGTGTGTGTATATGTGCGTGCGTGAACATTACAATTCATTTGTCAGAAAATTCTCACGAAATTTAATAACAGTTCTATAACAACCAAACTGTGAAAACATTTTAATAGAAACATTATTGAATGCGCTCTAATTCAAATTACAAAACCGTACAATATGAACATTAGTAACGCTTTGTACAAGTTAGATTCATATTTAATTGATCAATTTAAAAAAAAACTATTTAGTATGATCATTTATACAGTTGCATCAATAGAGATGTTGTTTCCTCTAACTCAGCTGAGTTGGTAAATAGGCCTCCTGCAATTTCATCTTGTTCTGATGTTCTTGAACCAGTATTAAAAAAACATTTTGTTGTTTTAGCCTCTAATGTATCTTTACTATACATCTCCGTGTGAAGAACAGGAATGTTCTACACACGGAGACTATTACTAACTATTAGATACACTAATCTAAAAATGACAGAGTAATATGTACCAATTTGTAATTCTGGGGAAAAAAAATAATTTATTTTTAATAAATTAAACCTAATATCGTATGAGCATTTCAATGCTCATATGATATTAGGTTTCTCTCTCTCCACTACTTTTCAACACTCCTCCTACCGTCCGCCCTCACGAAAGTTGCCCAAACTAATCAGTTGTGTAGATGTGTGAGATACACTGCCCCCCACGCCCCCCATGTGTGTACCATGTGTGTACTTAAGTGGTCGTGAAATGCTGCGATTGGCACACTAAATTATATATATATAGTCAGTCAACAGATTGTCAACGAACGATCGATTCGAGCTTCGTTAGCTCTGTAAAACTTTGAAACCCTCGTTTAACGTAAACGGTCCGCCTCGAGCAACGAGCTCAGTGTTAAACGCGAGTAGATTACAAGACCTTATCAATGTAATTCTGCAATCAAGCCGAATCAAACTATATTGAGTGTACCTTTGCCCTGTACACGCTGGGACCTCGTGGATCCTCTGGGCCAAGACTCAGATCTTTATTTGTTGTTTTCAGAGTTGCAATGGGATGTCTCCGGTCTCCGGCTTTGATTGGCAATCTGCAGCCTCGGCCAGCAGTCTGCAGCCTCGGCCAGCTGTCCGCAGCATCGGCCAGCTGTCCGCAGCATCGGCCAGCTGTCCGCAGCCTCGGCCAGCACTTCGCAGCCTCGGCCAGCTGTCCGCAGCCTTGGCCAGCAGTCCGCAGCCTCGGCCAGCACTTCCAGCCTCGGCCAGCACTCCGCAGTCTAGGCCAACACTCCGCAGCCTCGGCCAACACTCCGCAGCCTCGGCCAGCACTTCGCAGCCTCGGCCAGCACTCCTCAGCCTCGGCCAGCACTCCTCAGCCTCGGCCAGCTATCCGCAACCTCGGCCAGCAGTCCGCAGCCTCGGCCAACACTTCGCAGCCTCGGCTAGCACTACACAGCCTCGGCCAGCTGTCCGCAGCATCGGCCAGCTGTCCGCAGCCTCGGCCAGCAGTCCGCAGCCTCGGCCAGCACTACACAGCCTCGGCCAGAAGTCCGCAGCCTCGGCCAGCACTACACAACCTCGGCCAGCAATCCGCCGCCTCGGCCAGCCACACACAAGTCAAGCATGCTCCAGTTAACGTGAATTAAAAATGAGCTAAATTACTCAGACTTACGTGGTGATACGGGAATTTAATCCTATGAAAACGTGACACCGGAGAATGCGAATGTGAGCGCCGGGGTATTAGCGTGTGTGTGTGTGTGTGCGTGTGTGTGCGCCTGGCCTAACCAACCACCACGACGGCTGCCTAGGGAGGAGTGAGGCGTGGTGAGGGGAGACTCTACGCCACCGCCACCCCCCCGCGAGCAGGGGAGGTGGTGAGGGGGGAGGTGGTGGTGATGCCTCAAGATCGCATCGCGCGCTGATTTCGACGGACATAATTTGTGGCATTATTTCGAGATCGAGGACATGATTTCCCGACGAGTTCGGTGTTTCTGGAAGTGTTGGAGGGTAAAGTGATAACGAATTAGGGATATATATGTGGAATTTTGATAAATATGTGAAGGCGAGGTGTGTGTGTGTGGTGGTGGGGGAGGGGTTTGGGGGGTGTGGCGACGGGGTGGGGGGGTGTGAGAGGGGCGGGGCCTGACTGCCGGCACATGAGCACGGGGACCGCCCCGGGCCAAAATGGCTCCCCCCAACAACCGGAAACTTAGCGAAGCAGTTTTGGCGTTCCCCGGGCGGCCTGTCCCTAGTTTGACACAAACCCTCCGCTGGGACACATCGACCCCTCATCTCCGTGGCGAGTGAACCTCGCCCTTGACCCCCCCTCTCCCCAACCGTCTCCAACCCCCCCATTTCCCCTCGGCGCCGTCGCCCAGGGCACAACAGCCTCCGTCGTTGTCACCTCCTGCGGGCGCGCTTCGACCTCATAAGTCTAATGAACTTATCAACACGTGATATCTCGGAAATATTTCAACGTGCGCCGCTGGACTGGACTCAGGCGGCCTACGGTTAACAAGTGACGATCGTTTTAACACTTAAATTCAAACGTTTCGAGGATAATTAATATAACAAGAAAAAGAGAGTTGTTTCTTTGTCGATTGTGAAGTTTGTTTACTAGTCTGGAGGGTTTTTTGGAAAGTAACTCCTTGGAGCTAATGAGGGTGTGAGGCGTGAGGTTATGGCCGGCAGTATGAGGGTGTGTGAGTGAGGGGGCGAGTGTGAGAGACCTGCCCTGCTACAGCTACTGCAGCTGCACGCCCCCCACCACCACCACCACTACCACCACTACCACCACCACTACTACCACCACAACTCGGGGCACCATGATGAACGCCATGTTTTACCCACAGGTAAGTTCCCCCCTTCCTTGTGTATGTCGTTAAATATCTTGACTTTCCTTAACGTGGGGGGGATATGATCACTTCGTCAGCGATGCGACAGTGTTTCTTCAGACTATTGTATCTGGATTTCAGAACCGACCTACGGGAGGTAAAAATCATATCGAAATTTTGTAAAACAAAATTCGGCGAAATTTTGAACGCTAGAAATTATCGGCCGACAAAAATAAGCGAAATTTTGATACCAAGTCGTGTTAGACTCTGATATTCGATATATTACATCACTCAGACCCGTAATCTCACGACGACCAAACTACACATCAGAAGATGGAGAAACGACGACGTTTCGACTTGATAATGGACCAGGACGGTCCGTTTCGGTCCGTTCAGGACCGAAACGTCGTCGTCGCTTCTCTATCATTCTGATGTGTGGTTTTGGTCATCATATCTTCAGCCACGTTATTGTGGCTCATCGTCGGCATAATATATATATATATATATATATATATATATATATATATATATATATATATATATATATATATATATATATATATATATATATATATATATATATATATATATATATATATATATATATATATATATATATAATATAATATAATATAATTACTCGTTATCAATATGTGTATGTTTCAGAATGAGAAAATTGGTAGATCTTCGTAAATTGATGTTAATGACTTGTCTCCACCGTCCACGGCTCTCTGCTTATTATGCTTCGTAGAATAAGCAACACGAGAGAACAATATACTTCCTTATAAAATGAGGAGACATGAGACAAGGAGAACATATATTACCAACCACCAGAGAAGGGGAAACATCACCTGTGAGAGGCCAACACTTAACAAGTGACCATAAACTCCAAGTTCAAGTACAGTAAAGTAAATTGTATAAGTACAATTGAGACAATAAAATACATCTCAAAGGGATAGGGTAACTTAGGCTATTTCTCCCCCTTCCACTACTTTCAAGTCCCTCAAGAGGGCGCACAAATCCAGTCAGTACAAATCCACAAATCACAGTATAAGAACCACATTTAACACTGCAGGTTAATATATTAAACACAGCATATCAGTGTTAACAATTCTTGGGGCAAAATGCTTGTAGTTCCTAAGTATTCTGTCTATCATACCATTATCACTCAGCCAAACAATTTGGCGTGATACACTACTTACCATAAACTCTGGTGTGTTGACATTAACCTGACCCACAAAGTTAATTTTCCTGATTTGGGAATCAATTTTCAAATTTATTCTTGAATAAATTCAAATTTTCTTGAACACTATTGTAGTTCCGAACTTTTGAGTTATCAACCCCAAATTTCTGAGGTTCATTGGAGTTCAAACATGGCAGTTAAAACTTCTTGACGGCAATGATGATAGTTATGAAATGATTACAGAGGATTACATAAGATTACAAAGGAACTGCAAAGGCAGTCAGGCAGCAACAAATGACCTTTCATAAACAAGGCAGCTCGTTTAAGTACACTTTACAGTGGTACAGAATAGTCGGCAGTTAGGAAAACCCGTACGTAATTATATATATATATATATATATATATATATATATATATATATATATATATATATATATATATATATATATATATATATATATATATATAATATATATAAATATGACCGAAAAAGTAAGATTAATAATTGAATAACTTTTTCGGTCATATTTAATAATATATGTCTACAGAAAGACTGCTACCAAAATATACTAATATACAGGTGATGAGTCACAATAACGGGGCTGAAGTATGTTGACCAGACCACACACTAGAAGTTGAAGGGACGATCACGTTTCGCTCCGTCCTGGACCATTCTCAAGTCGATTCAATCCATTCTCAATCGACTTGAGAATGGTCCAGGACGGACCGAAAGTCGTCGTCCCTTCAACTTCTAGTGTGTGGTCTGGTCAATATACTAATATATATATATATATATATATATATATATATATATATATATATATATATATATATATATATATGTCGTACCTAGTAGCCAGAACTCACTTCTCAGCCTACTATGCAAGGCCCGATTTGCCTAATAAGCTAAGTTTTCATGAATTAATGTTTTCCGACTATCTAACCTACCTAACCTAACCTAACCTAACTTTTTCGGCTACCTAACCCAACCTAACCTATAAAGATAGGTTAGGTTAGGTTAGGTAGGGTTGGTTAGGTTCGGTCATATATCTACGTTAATTTTAACTCCAATAAAAAAAATTGACCTCATACATAATGAAATGGGTAGCTTTATCATTTCATAAGAAAAAATTAGAGAAAATATATTAATTCAGGAAAACTTGGCTTATTAGGCAAATCGGGCCTTGAATAGTAGGCCGAGAAGTGCGTTCTGGCTACTAGGTACGACATATATATATATATATATATATATATATATATATTACTTATCCCAGTTGGTGCTTCATTCATCGCTATGGCTTCTGCTGCTAAATTGTTCAGTATGTTCAAATTTCAATCATTTTGCTCTGTCGGATTGGAATCGTTAATTGCCACTCATTTGTTTTAACTTTTATTTGCGATAAAATGGGTTGGTAAAAATTCAATTACTATAAAAAAAAAACTGTGTAATGAATTAAATAATTTTAAACAGTTACGTTAAGTAATCCGTTGTATTTCGTTTTTTAAAACAAAATCAATAGTATTAATAAAATTAAAGTTATATTACCTCTTCGTTATCAGTTTATCGTATCGTGAAAAGTTAACATAATGTAAAGAGTAATATCGAATGCAATTTTTTTTTATATAAATTCAAAGAATAAAAATAACTGATTGTTGAGCTGACAGACCCAGTGAGGGTGGCATTAAAACACCTGAGTAATTACGTTGTTAAATAAGGGATTTTTTCCCAGTCCGAATGACGCGAGAAAGTCACGTTTTCAGGTGTTTTATAAAAGATTAACTCTGCCTGTGTTACGATGCTTCTGCTGGGTAATGTTGAGTGAGAGGCTGTGAGACAGCTTAGTCATTTACGGGCTCACCATAGCCCGTGCTACATGGACACTTCGTTCTGAGTAGCTAAATCTAAAACAACAACAACAACAGTTTAGTTTTAGAGAGAGAGAGAGAGAGAGAGGTTGTATTCACCTAGTTGTACTCACCTAGTTGTGGTTGCAGGGGTTGAGCTTTGGCTGTTTCGTCCCGCCTCCCGCTGTGGAACACTACTCTGCTTGCCTAAAGTCTGAAAAAATTTAAGATATAAAATACGCTCCTTATTTGCTAGCTGGCAGTAAGATGGTCTACCATAGCACAGGGAGAGGACGTACAAGTGGGGCCCCACATCACCGTACATAATTAAGACGCTCTTACAAGTTCCCAGATCGTCAAAAACGAGGTTATATAAAACTATATATATATATATATATATATATATATATATATATATATATATATATATATATATATATATATATATATATATATATATATATATGTATAACATAACACACACAACACAGAGCACATGTCATCCACAAGAGTAAACAAATGCCTCAATGAAAATACAATTTGTTTATCAATTTGCTTTGAGTACAGTAAACCGCTCCCATGGCTGGGCGGCCACAGTATGAACGTGTGAGTGATACGTTCATACTAGGGGGGAAAAAAAGGCTTCTGTATGCAGTAGGGGATGGGAACAAATGATTTAGTTTATTTCTGTTGTATTGTTGTATGACTGATGTTGCATAGATGCTAGAATGAAATGTTGCATGGTATGATGTATTGCACGGGCCTTAGTCACCT